GAAATAAAAGAAGAAAGCGCTCTTTAAAACGGAATTAGGTTTTAGGGAATTGAAATTTGAGAATGTTGTTGATCAGTTAAATAGCATTGAGGGGAAAAAGAAGATTTTTAGTTTTTTTTTTAAATACTGGGATAATTATGAGAATTTGAGGTATAGATATTAGGATCCAGTAGATGGCAGTAGTGCAACAATAATGGATGCAAGCTGCCGTTGAAATCTGAGGAAGAAGAAGAACCAGAACATGTCATGTAAAAGTATTCTCTTCTCTGTCATGTGCTGTGACCTCAGTCACAGCACATGTTGTGAGTGGAAAGAGGCGATATTGCCCCCAGGAACCTGTTGGTTTACTGTCTCATTCGAGAGATTGTGGACTGCAGATACAAAAGCTGAACTCTTTGCGAGGTGTGTGTCCCGTTACATCTGACGTAAAGATAACACAGCGTTTCAGAAAAAGATCATACCAACAACCGTATGATGTATAATGTGATGTTCTGGTTCTGCTCTGCTGCTTCAAGACCTGGAAGACTTACTGAGATAAATCTAACTATGAATTCTGCTGTCGACCAAAACATCTTGAAGGAGACCGTCCAGCCATCTCAAGCTGAAACCAACTTGGGTTCTTGAGCAGGACGATGATCCAAAACACACCAGCAATTCCACTGCTGAATGGCTGAACTAAAAAAAAAAAAAGTATTCTCTTCTCTGGCCGCAGCTCCAGCCAGATTTATGTGAATGTCGGTGTGTTTTTCCAACCCTGCTGAAAAGTTGGATGCCAGACGTCTGGCGAGGAACCGCTGGGAAAACCCTCAGGGATAAGCCTGGTATCAGAAGATAGCGGCTGTCTTGTTAGAAGAAACTAAACAGACACTGGGCGTGTGACATGTTGGCTTCCTGTTCTTATTCTTGGAAGAATAAAGTGATGTTTGAGTTAAAAAAAAAAAAAAAACTCCAATCTCTGCTTGGTAACTAAGAATTGGAGTTAAACTGGGGAATGTCCTTTTTCTTTACATTTTTATTTGTTTTCTGTTATTACTCACCGACAACGCAAGGAAATAAACACCATCCGCCCAAACAAAAATGTCTCTGCTGCCCTCTAGTGACGAACAAGCAGCATTAAGTTGTACCTGTTGGAAATATGTGTTGCTGTCATTCTTACATGTGTATAGATTATTGATCTTATATTACTATAGGTAATTGTGATTTTCATTTAGAAGTGTTGGCTTCTCACTGTCTGTGTTAAAACCTTTGACTGCTGTGTTGAAGATTTTCTCACACTGATGAGAGAGAAATCGCTCCCAAGGGAAAAGACAGGACGATCTTGTGTGTGTAGAACCTGTAGACCAGGGGTCACCAACTCCAGTCCTAGAGGGCTACCATCCTGTAACTTTTAGATGCGTCTCTGCTCAAACACACCTGGATCAAATAAACTGCTTGTTTCCAGCCTATTGCAGAGAGGAATGAATGCTGGTGAGGGAATTCAGACATTTTGGAGCAGAGGTGAATCTAAAAGTTGCAGGATGGTAGCCCTTGAGGACTGGAGTTGGTGACCCCTGCTGTAGACAAAGCTTGCCTTCCGTCTCTTCTCTTTATCTCTCCCTTCTCTGAAAATAAAAGACAAACTCTGACTGGAAGTTATCAGAACGTGCGGTGGGCAGCTCGCTGGAGCGGTCCGCTGTGTCTTCTCCTTTCATGGAAGCTTGGTAAAAACTCACATAAGCTGTCTGTGGTTCTTTCTTTTCTGTGTAGGTTCAGAAAACACCCATCAGTACCCAGCACCTCATTTTTCGTTGTCGCTTTTAATTCCACAAGGTAAAACAAAGAGCTTTCTATGCATAACATAAACTTTATTGAATATATTAAAACAAATACAAATGGAAAAAAAAATAGAATAAAGTCACATTTTTTCCCCCTCAAACGAGAAAATAATTTAAGTCACCCTTTAATCAATTCAAAACATAAAGAACAATGTGCGTTTCATTTTTTCTGAACCGAGCGTTTCTTCCACGTTCAAATCCATCGAGACTTCATGGGTTTGCATTACGTCTGTTCAAGCGTAATTCAAACCCGGACACACGCAGCTTTGTTCTGTCTGCTGAATGGAAGGAGCATTTTTCCCTGCTGCGTTAGTTACTCTGACAGAGGCACTCGCTGACCCTTTCTGCAAAATGTCCTCAGAGGAAGACAGCAGAACATATGAAGGAGTCATTGTTTCATCAGCTAAGATGCAAATGTGGTTGAAGATCTTCAAACTGCTACTTTTGGTTAACATTTATACTGATACTGATACAGAAAGCTGAAGCTCACTCAGGACTTTTAGCCGATTTATTACTGAACAGAAGCCGCATGGAGGCCACACATCAGTAACATGCAGATGATGCAACTGGTGCGTACAGCTAAGCACGTTTATTGTACATTTCTGAAATATTTACACACTTAAAACCTTCCCGCTCTTTCGGCGACGTGTGCACATCAGATCACATTCGTCCCCCACCGTCTCTTCGCTCAACAGGGAGAATTTTAAACGGCAGAGCTGCTTAGAACGAGCGCGAGAAAATAGTGCCATGACAGAAAGCAGAGCTTGAAATTTGTTCGCCGTCAGTGTTCAACTTATCAAGAGTTTCTAATATTGACAAGAACCGAGAGATCCGGCCGTGTGTGAGAATTCCCCGGACCTTTGCCGAGATAAGTTGAGGCTAAACAGGCAAGAAGGACAGAAACAGGAATGTGACGTCAAAGTCTGAAACTGGCAGTTTATATGATCAGCATCGCTAAATGGTTACAAATGTGCAACATGAACCGTCTTCTCTGTTAAAAGAAATTATGTTTTTCTCTTAAATAGCAGTTTATGATCCTTCTGTAGTCGGGGGAGAGCTTCTTAGTACGAGCGGATGGCAGGAGGGACGTGGGCGCAGTCCTGTTCGTTCAGAGAGCTGTCGATGACGGGGCGGTACCTCAGCGTCACCTGGGATTGGTCGGAATGAGAGGCGCGTTAGACATCGCTAATGACGGCAAGACGACGACAAACCAGAGCGCACGTGGTACCTTTCCAGTTTTGGGGTCTACGTATGACATGGTGTGCTTCCTCCAGTGCTGCTCGAAGGGCTTCTTCTGCTGACCCTCCAGGGGCTTGGAGTAGTCGTACTCATCGATACGATCCTGAAACACAAAGGAGCCGATCAAGTTGCCATGGCGACAGACTAGGGTGAGAACCACACGTGCAATAAATGAAATTTTCACACGGTTCTGCTGTCCAACAGTGTGTTTGTTAGCATGTCTGGAAATGCTGGATTCCTGGCTTTAAATATGAAATTAAACATTTTCTGAAACTAGTTGTTTCAAATATGTATGTTAGCTAAGATGGATCCTTGTTCTGACCAAAGAGAAGGGGTGTCCAAGATGCGGCGAGGGGGCCATTTCAGGCATCTTTTACAGATATTTTCTTAAAAAAAACAACAAAAAAACATTTTAGCTACAAAAATGTGGTTGATTTTGATCAAATTTAACATTTTTTATTTTGTTATGGAGCAGATAAGATGAAATGAGGCACAAAAAGTTAATCTGAAAAATGTTATGAAAAACAAGCAGCCCAAATGCTTTCAACTGAACAACTTTGGCCCTTATGGAAAAATTTTTGGACACCACTGGTCCAGATGTGTGTATTAGGATGAAGGGTGTGAAGTTCAAAGTTCTACCAGTTAAAACGGGTTTGATGTGAACTTAGTGTTATTTTTAACTCCACTTTCACTTTGCATCAGGAGTTGGAAGCTCAGTCCCTGGGCGCCCCCAAGTGGCCAGAAAATGAAGCTACATTTTTCTCACAAATCAGGCTGCTTTGTTTTTTTATCATGCTCAACTGATCATAGTAAGACGAAAGCATGGAGTCACGATTACTTTAAATGAGTGAAGAAACAGAAATATAAAGATCAATGATGTAAAAAAAATAAAATAAATCAAAGGACTAACCTTGAAGTCCTCTCTGGCGTGGGCACCCCTGCTCTCCTTTCTTTGCTCAGCACCATTGATGGTTTGGACGGCGTTCAGCATCAGGTTCTGCAGCTCCAGTGACTCCACCAAGTCTGTGTTCCACACGATGCCTAGCACACAAAACAAAACAAAAAAAATCCACCTTAATCAGTTCCCCACGCAGCCACAGCCGGACCCAGAGTACAAAGACGACAGCAGAAGCCTACCTCTGTCAAAGGTTTTGATTTTCTCCATGCTCTGGTAGACGTCGGCCATCTTATCGCATCCCTCCTTCAGAACGGAGCCGGTACGGAAGACGGCGGCGTGGTTCTGCATGGTCTGGACGCGGGGAAATAAAACGATTTCAGCTTTTGGAAGAACACGTCCTAGCAAATCCACGGTGGACTGCTGAGTCTGTGTTCAAAGTGTTCACCTTCTGCATGTTCAGCCTGATCTCGGACGTTCTCAGATTTCCGTTAGCAAACCTCAGCTTGTCCAGGTTGGCCACAGACTCCTCTCCTGCGCTGGGCTTCAGGGGGGAAAGCTTCTCTCCTAGAGCGACGTAAACGAGTGTTGGCAGTGATTTCACATGGAACACTGGTAATGTAACACATTGACCCATCAATCATGTTGTCTGCCGTAGAAGCAGAGAAATCTTACCGGGTTTGTGCTCCTCTGCGATGGTCAGTGCGCAGGCTCTCCCGAACACCACCAGGTCCAGCAGCGAGTTAGCGCCCAGCCTGTTAGCGCCATGCACGCTGGCACAGGCCGCCTCACCGCAGGCGTACAGCCCAGGAATCACTTTGTCCTTGCCGTTGATGTGATCGATCACCTGACGGTGGGAAAAAAAATTAAAAATAATTCACCGTTAACGGTCTGAGGAGACATCTGAGAGCGGTGAGCGGGATCGGGGAGGAGTGGGTGGGGGGGACGTACCTGTCCCTTGTAGTTAGTGGGAATTCCTCCCATGTTGTAGTGAACCGTGGGCAGGACAGGGATGGGCTCCTTAGTCACGTCGACTCCAGCGAAGATCATGGCTGTCTCGGAGATCCCGGGCAGCCTGGTGGCCAGCTGCTGCGGAGGCAGGTGGTGGAGCTGCAGGTACACGTGGTCCTTGTCCGGACCCACACCTCTACAGAGAGTAGGGCGGCCATTTTATCAACCACTTCATGCCTACAGCCACAAAGCAGAAGGAAAAAAAAAAAAAACTGTGTGCTGTGTCCCTCCCTACCTGCCCTCTCTGATCTCTATGGTCATGGAGCGGGACACCACGTCTCTGGAGGCCAGGTCTTTGGCGTTGGGGGCGTAACGCTCCATGAAGCGCTCGCCCTCGCTGTTGATCAGGATTCCTCCCTCGCCACGGCAACCCTCCGTGATCAGGCAGCCAGCCCCGTAGATCCCTGCAAACATTCACGTGTTAGACTGCTGAGAAAGCATTGTCCATATAACAACTTCAGTAGGGTTGAAATGATTAATGGAATTAATTGTGAGTAATCAATTATTGACTAATTTAGTAATCGATTAATTGGAATATGCAGACTCTAAAATTGCCCATAAGCTGGAAGAATAATCAGAGATCTAATTAAGCAAAAGCTGTACAAAGAATATATATGTTTTGCATGAGATTAAAAAAAAACATTCGTCTATAGGTATATTCTACCCAGAAGTCAAGTATCATTTTTAGCTTCACCTGGTTCAAATTCTGCAAAATCAATCTCCTATTAGGCACATTTTGCTGTAAATGTATTAATCCAAAATAATCAACACACTAGACAGTTCGTTTTTAGCTGCAAGATGCAGCTTTTACTGCAAATGATCAAGCTTTCATTAAAGGAATACTATGGTATAGCATTGTAAAAAAAACCCTCATTATTTGCATCTTTTAAAATATTTCAAATATTGTGTAAAAAAAAAAAAAGGCTTATGTGGTCAAATGAAAAGGGTGAAAAATGTACCATTTTTTGTTTTTATCCGATTAGTCGTCAAAGTAATCAATAGAATAATCAACAATGAAAATAATTGCAGCCCTGCATTCCAGACTCTACTTTCAGGAATTAAACACCTTTTAAAGTAATTTTTAAAATGTGAGACACTAAAGGTTTGGCCTGGACAGGTTCTCCAACTGCAACTCTTACTTTGCTAGTAGACTGACACGTCATTGTAAAGTCTCTAAAGATGCACTCGTTTAGGTTCCATGTAAGGAAAAAATAAATAAAATCAAACAATAAACTTGAATAGTTATGTCATCCTTCGAGTCGAGTTGACACATTCTGCTGCATCGTTCCTACACAAAGCTTTTTATACCCTTCAGTTTTGAGCTAAAATGGCAGCTGTAGCGGAGGCCTCGATTATCTTCGCTCATCACTGTAAATCCAAATGCAACTATTTTTAACCAACGCAATTTAACTGGGCTTATTTAGCCAACAGGTGAAAAACGGCATCAAGATTAGACTACAGGAGGAAAGACAAACACACACAGCCTTCGATACGACGCAGCACCATTATGAAACGTCACCGTTGAGCCTGGTGTCAAATGTCTGGCAGAAACAAAAATAAGGATGACCTTCAGCCACACACATCTGTCACATTATACGTCTGAACACAGAAACGGTTCGGTCCGTGTCCGAAAGCTGGACACAGATGATCAGAGAGGCAAAAATCGAGCAAAATGTAAAACTACAACACACACACACATTGTGAAAGTTGTTTCAGTGAAAACATGCAGGGTTAAGACTTTAGTTCTGTTCTGCAAAACCTGGACCAAGTCACTGTTTACTTTTCACAGTTTTTCTTAATCTTGTCTAAAATATCAAGTTAAGGTAGTTGTGGCATTATGTCTGTCCACCTGTACGTCTCTGGCTCCACCTTCTGCTGCAACCTTTGAGCTGAAGGTCTGCAACAATCAGTCAATAACAACATCCAGCATGTAGGGGGAAAAAACATCAGCACAAGGTTTCACCAATGTTTCTGCATTACTGAAGAATCAAGCAATACAGCTTTCCCTTTCAATTAATCAACAAGATTGTAACCCTTAAGTGCTTTGTTCTTTACTCTCTTTATGCCACCGAGTGAGATAACAGGGGGAAAATTTAACACATGTAAACATTAACGCTTTCTTACAAGATTATGCCAAATTTCTGTGGCTCTTCAAAGCAGTTTGTCCCTCACTGACTCTGGTTGTGACTTTTCTCACCGGTGGGATGGAACTGCACAAACTCCAAATCCTGGCACGGCAGGCCGGCTCTGGTCACCATGGCGTTTCCGTCTCCTGTGCTGGTGTGGGCAGACGTGCAGCTGAAATACGTCCTTCCGTAACCACTGAGAGACACACATTTAAAGTCTTATTATAACCAAGACTCCTGAGCCGACAACAATCTGACAACACTGAGCTGCAGCAGAGTTCCTGGCGTACCCGGTGGCGATGACGGTGTTCTGGGCTCTGAAGCGGTGGATGGAGCCGTCCTCCATGCAGAGAGCAATAACTCCTTTACACTCTCCGTTTTCCATCAGCAGGTCCAGGGCAAAGTACTCCACGAAGTAGCTGGTGTCGTAGCGGAGCGACTGAGGGAGAGGGAGGGAGAACGACGAGTGAAACGCAGTTTGACCGAAACGAGCTGCTTGGTCTGAGCTGGAGGGAGAAGCTGAAGTCCTCACCCTTCCGTAAAGCGTATGCAGCAGGGAGTGTCCCGTCCGGTCCGCCACACAGCAGCAGCGGTGGGCCTGGCCCCCCTTCCCGTACTTGAGACTCTGTCCCCCGAAGGCTCTCTGGTAGATCTTGCCCTCTTCGGTGCGGCTGAACGGCATGCCGAAGTTTTCCAGCTGAGAAAGATGAGTGGCACGAATTTCTTATCGATCACTGTGACTCATACAAGCTAATACTGTAGCACCATCTTGAATAATCATGGTTTCTTTTAGAAGAGTCAAATATGTGCAAGATTAAAAAAAAAAAAGCAAAAGCTCGTCAGAGACGCAGCTGACCTCCACTACGGCTGCAGGAGCCTGCTCTGTCATGTAGTGGATGGCGTCCTGGTCTCCCAGCCAATCAGATCCCTTCACCGTGTCGTAGAAATGCCAGCGCCAGTCATCCTCCTCCATGTTACCCAGAGCCGCGTTGATCCCACCCTGGAAACAAGAGGAATACTTTACCAAACAGCACTGCTCCAAAAAGAACGAAAGACGCAAGTGGAGTCGAGACGAAACTGCAAAAAAGGCCGACGGTCCTGCTAGCATACACCATCGTGTCGGGGTACCTGTGCAGCGACGGTGTGAGACCTGGTGGGGAAGAGCTTAGTGACGCAGGCCGTGTTGAAGCCGGCCTCCGATAAGCCAAAAGCGGCCCGAAGTCCAGCTCCTCCGGCTCCCACCACCACGGCATCAAACTCGTGATCCACAACAGGATATTGAGTGGAGATCTGGAGACGGTCGGATAAAGAAGGTATATTTTTAAAACGTCTAATAAAGAGGCGATTTTCAAAGTGGGGAGGAGGCGTCCTGATTTTCAACACACAAAAAGAAGAACTCACATCATCTGCTACTTTGGCACTCTTCTTCTTGCCATAGATGGAGAAGTGAAAGTTCCTGGAGCCCTGAACTGCAGCAGCGGGGACCTGAGAGAGAAGAAGAACAGCTAGAAACTCGCATAGATTACATGAAATCCACTGAAGGTCGCGCTCCTGTCAAAACGACTCTAGAAGCAAACGAAACGGTGACCGTCTAGTCGTTGACAACGGAGGAAGGAATCCAGTTTGTTAGTAAATTTTGACACAAAGCAATGTTATGCACTGGTTTAACAAAGCAGGACTGCAGCTCAATTAAATATTTTCCTTCATCAACTTCAGTTCAGGAAAAGACAGTTGATACTAAGAATTACGTAATCAATATTAATCAAGCTATTACAAGCTGCCAAAAATATGTTCATTATCGCCATGGTTACATCAGAAAAGCACTAGCAATTTTTCCAAACTGCGACTGGCAAATCCATAAAGGACTTGACACACTATATTTCCATTTTCTGTCTCTACATTCACTAAACGACAACATGTAATTTATAATGCACTGCTTTGAGTTTAGTTTAAAAAGATAAATGTAAAAAAATATATACATTTTTAAAGGATAAACAGGGATGACCTCTTATTCCTACTTTTGTTTCAAAACTACCGTCTCCACCATCTAAAGAACCAGTAGCGCATATTTTCCTTCAGATCTCTATAAATCATTTTTTTTAAAAGCGAACAGATATTGTTTCAGACAAAGATGTTGCACTTCAATGTTTAGCGATAAGTAGACCGTAATGAAAGTGTGCCCGAGTGTGCTCCCCATCATCTCTGAAACCGTCATCATAATTCATCACAAACAAACTGACATGGTCATTACACTGTAAATAAGCAATTGCAACAGTATTTCCACTTAAACAGCAGCAGCAACAACAAAAAAAAACAAGCAAAACTATTTTCCTACTAATATTTTCACAAAATAGTAAATCAGTTCCCCTCTTTGAAATGTGGGCAAACAAAAACATAACAATGTATAACGTAATGTATGTACAAGTTTGGACCTTTTCATAGCCCATCATTGAGGATCTTATTGGGTCCAATAGGAAATGCCAACTACTATCATCTTAAACCAAAAGATGCCTGTTCTAAACACGATGTACAACAAAAATAAATCAGAAACAACACAACTAAAGGTAATGTCCATAATGAAGCATGACCCACAACAATGAAGTTTCTTTAAAACAAGAGTTGTAGTATAACTCGCATCGAGCCATGGAAAATAGAAAACTGCATTTTATTAGGTCTTCACAATGGGAGAGGAGCAAAAAAAAAAAAAAAACGGGGTAAATATGGATTTATAATGCATAACACTGCAAGATTACACAGTAGAATTATTTAAAGATGCTTCAATTTTTTTTTATTTTGCGCCAACATTTGTTCTGCTTGATGATAAACCGCTTATTTTGGTGTGTGCATACATTTACTTATGACAAATTAGCAACATGCATGTCCACGTAAGGAGCTGATTACGTTTTTAAATAAATAATAATAAAAAAAACAATGACCCTTGAGTTTCACAAATATTGCTCTAAATTGATCATTTGCAACACATAAATATGGAATAGTTAGATAATAACAATACTTTTCCTCGGGCTGGCAATAATTAGATTCTTTGAGGTGTCACATTGAGACACCCTATGCTACTTAACAGGTTACGCAAGCAACAATTCGGCGATTATGAAAGCAATACTTATTTGCTGCCCATCTAAATATGATGACTCAAATGTACACATATAATTAAGGTATATCTAGATAAAAACGTGCCCAATTATATTTGAATGTCCAGTTGTTGCTACTAACCGCTTTCATGTTAGCGAGCACCCTCTTGGAGAGGAGACGGGACGCCGCACGAACAGTCGCCATGTTGTCGGTTGAAAAACTGTTGCTCTGATGTCGGGGGAAGAGATATGCTGTCGGACTAGACGGAACCACTGTACGGAGAGGGGGGTTATGTACTCTATGCCTAATATATTTTACTTATAAAAAATATTGCATTGTTTTCAAGAATAAGAAACATTCGACGGTATAAGAAAATTTGAAAAAAAATAAAAGAGTTGTTGTTTTGTGATATTTAAATAACGTTTTATTCAAGTCGGTTTAAATCAACCACCCTATCCAGCTGTGTGCACTAGCAAATGATTATTGTATAAGCGGAGTATGCAGGAACAAATGCATAAGTGACCTAGGCATTTCATTCAAGGTGAGAGACAGCTGCATACACAATGCAGAGAAATAATGGTTTAATATAATTATGGTGCAGCTATATTTTCCGTTGTTAGTTTGGTGTTAAATACTGTAGCCGCAAAGGCAAAGCTAAAGGTTAGCCAGCATGCTAGCTGATGCTAGCTTTGTTTTTGGTCAGCTCAACTGCCAAACCCCCTCAGGTGTCATCACCACAGTTTGTGAAAACATGTCTACAATGTATAAAGACCTGTTTGTGGTGGTTACGGGCATTTCGTTAATGCTAAAATAAATATTTACATTTAATGACGAACACTGAACTTAAGTTTAGGCTTTTAAAGGAAAACTAGTGATATGAGCTTTCAGTAATCTAAGCTGTCAGTTGTTTTGTCATTAAAGTCTGAAAATTGCTTTATTTATAGCTGCAGACAAATGTGTAAATCACATTGTTAGCTACAGAAGGAATTAATATAAGTTAAAAATTTATTTTCGATGGATTATTTTATTTGTTTGTCCTTCCAGCAGCCTCCATGAACAACTTGAATAACCCTCCCAGATGGAACATCCATCCAAACCAGGGAAGCGGGGATGCAGGGGCCCGCGGGGATGCAGGGGCCGGTGGTGGCAACAAGTGGAACTACGCCCTGCTGGTCCCCATGCTGGGACTGGCTGCATTTCGTAAGTTTCACAATTATATTCCTCTGGAAGTGTTTGGATTGGGTGTAGCTCATATAATAATCTTAGCAGATGTGCAGCTCCACCCAGTGTTTGATAATTGCTGCTGGCTAATCTGAAGGAGTGATGGAGGTCTGATATGTGAGGCTTAATGCCTGAAGTCTGGAAACTGCTGCTTTTACACAGCTACATAGTTGCCCAGGGAGATTAAAGGATTTCTCAAACATGCATGAAGTCAGTTTAACATAAAACTACCCCTTTAAATAAGCAGTAACTGTTTTTATGAGGGTTTATAACAATGTGCTTAATTTCAATTTCAGCACTTTTCGTAAAGTGCTCCTCTGTGGCCGTATTACTAAAAACTGTTCTCTTTAAAGGCTGGATATGGACGAGGGACTCTCAGAATGAGATCCAGAAGATTAAAGTCCAGTACGACAAAGACGTTTCCGTGATAAAAAGCGAGATGGAGGCTCGCTATCGGGACACGCTGACAGAGAGCCGCAGGGCAGTGGCTACGCTCGAGCTGGAGCTGGAGAAGGAGCAACAGAGGGTGAAAGGATACCAGCAGGCCCTGGTCTCTCACAGCCAGCATCTAATCCAGGAACGGAAACGGCTGGAACAGGTACCCCGCCTTCAGCTCAACCCGCTTTTACGTCATTCTTGTTCATTTCCTGTTGTCTTTAAAGAAAAACTTTTTTTTTTTTTTTTTTGACGTAAGGAGCGAGAGGCGCTGAACGACGAGAAGCAAAAGCTTGTCAAATCTGGCGCCACCGGTGCTGCGCTGCGTGACGCCTTGGAACGGGAGGCCGAGTGGCACCAGCGCGCCGCCACCATTCTGAGGGAGCTGGAGGGTCTGCTCGTCGAGCGTCAGAACGCCTACTGCTCTCTCATCCAGCCCCGGGATCAGCGGCTGGAGATGGAGAAGAACATACTGCTTAAGGTGGTCAAAAACCCCGTCACCGCGGAGCTGGGCCTAGAGTCTGACTTGAAGGACATTTTCAAGAGAGACAGGCACTGTGCGGATCTGATGAACATGGACAAGAGGAAGAACGGAAGCCTCATGTGGGTTTACTTGAAGTACTGGCAGCTACAGATCACTCTGCAGAAGCACAAAAGAGCAGAAAAAGCCATATTAGACGGGAGAGTCCAAGGTCACGGGAAGTGACCTCCATAAGCTGCTTTTGTTCCCGTTTTTGGCTTCGAAGGACATTAAGTTAACATGGAGCAGGGATCATCTGATAGGAATGTTATGCAAATACCTAAGAGGTAATCTTATTCAGATGTTTTTCTCCTTATCATTCATGATCTCTGAGTTAAGGGAACATCATAAAAGTAGGTATAATTTCTGAGGCCTCAATTAAGACTTGGTAGCTTTAATTTAACCACGGGGTAAGTTAAAATGCACTTAGGTACATCAGGTGGTTTCCGATGGCACTTTAAATCGAAAAAATTGAGACGTTCACTTTATCTTTTTTACCCTTTTATCTCATAGAGAAGTCCGGGTTAACGCATACATCTGATAAAGTAGTTTCATTCTTTGATTTAACTTATAGGAGTGAAGTAAAACACAGAATGTTATGTTGATAAAACACATCATTTTCTGCATATTTTAAGGCAGGGTGGAGGTTTTCAGTACCTTGTCGATGAACTTTTGTGGGAGGCAACAGTGGGACTTAATTTCAACGTATCATCATCTCCTCAGTTTTTAATCGTTTACAGTGTTTTCCTTCGAAATTGAATTAGTCTGAAATCTTTGATTTGTGAGATATCTTGGTGATAGCACTTTATTGAAGCTGCATGTGTAAGTAAAGTAAAACTTCAATAAAAACACGAGAATTCTCAGATGGCTCTGCACTGTAATGCTCATATAAAATGAATTCACGTGTGTAGCCTTTTTTGGGGGGGAAACCAGGCTTTTTGGGGTTTTTTTTGTTTGTTTTTTCTTGACTTTATTTAAAAGTGCTGGATTTCATGTCATGAGTACACATGTATTGACAACAACTATGTGCAGTCATCTAAATATATTTTTTTCCAAGAACTGAATGTTTGTGTTGTTTGCTTTTTTCCCTCACACTGATTACTGGTGTCCACAAGGGGGTGCTCTCAATTTAATTGTTTGCAAAGCCTTCAATCCGGTGGGGTACAAACTTTTTGCAACATGGGTTAGAACCCCAAAGTAGAAAGTACTCAGGGGGACAAATAGTTTTTCCAACTTAAAAAATCAGTTCTGTTCTAATCTTTATTGTCAGCAATAAATTAAACAAATAATTTTTTAATGAAACAAAGAGGCGCTTTTTTTTTTTTTTGTCTTAATAAAAGGCAGATGGTTTCTTTGGTTTTGGGGTAAATATTTGAGTCTATTTCCTACAAATGAGAACTTTCTCCAACAAAAAAACTCTTAAGTTAACAAAGTTTAATAGAAGAGTTTGTCTTTTTTTTATTCTTTTGAGCAAAAAGTTGCTGGATGTTTATAGCCCCACTTACTATGAAATTAAAAGTAAAATACTCTATGTCAGTTTCCGTTAAAGAATAATGAGATTCGTCATTGAAACTCTTATTCTAAAAAAATGACAAAAGTGGCCACTGGAGGGTCAAATTTGTACAATTCTTGAACTGCTGTCAGGGGTCACAAAAAATGTTCAGAGGGCCACACTTTGGACACCCCTGCTTTAATCCAAGACAGAATATGTTTGGAAGCTCATATTGCACCACTATACTGAACACTAAATTCCAGTTATAATGAATCCAGGTCATCATGTGAGACACATTACACTGCTGCAAACAGATTGTGTTCAGATTTAGAGTTTTATTTCAACAATATTAATCCACTATTGAACAGATATAAATACGAACCCATGAGATGAGACCTACTGACGTCTTTGTCATTACTGTCATAATTCCAGTTTTGTGTAAATAACATTAGCATGTTGCACTGTTTAGATTCCTTATAATCTCATTTCCCTCCTTCACTCCCTCCTCTGCTTCCGGTCAGACACTTCTCTTGGAGAGGACATCAGCCTGGAGGCTCTGAAGTTCTCTCTGACCGGCTTGCAGAGGTCCCCAGTGGTGGCAGGGGCTTCCTCTCGGTCTGCTGTGAGATTTGCCTTTCCTTCAATGACGGGTTGTTCTGTGCCGGAGGCTCGCTGCGGCGCTTTGCTCCTGCTGGAGAACGGCAGCTGGTACTCTCTCAAGACTCCCCCCTCTATGCCCAGCTTCAGGGTCTGGCTGGGGCTCCTCTGGACCATTAGGTGGACCACCTGCTGCTGCTTGTAACTCTCTCTGCGAACGCTGTCGGTCTCTGACAGCGTAATCCTGAAACAGTACACACACACACACACACACACGCAGAGTTACACTTTATGCTGTAGTTTAGGATGTAACAAACGATAAAAACAGGGAGAAGTTAAGGTTTTCTGAACATCACACGGCTAAAACCTTTTTAGGATGATGAATTCCACATGGGAAAAATGATAAGGTTTCAGACAAATATAGGATCAACACTGTTGAAGGATGTTATTTTAGCTGTTTAATTTGTAAATATGTAATTTATTGAGTTATATTTGGTTCATGAATGGAAATACAGTTTCTTTTTTCCAACATTCTGACACAACAGAACGCTGATCATTTTAGCCAGAAGAAGGCCTTTTGTTAGGTTGTTGTTGGTTTTTTTTGTTTGTTTTTTTAGTTTCTTACCAAAAACTATCTATTTGATGAGAACGGATTTATAGTTTATGTTTATGCATTTGGCACATGACAAATGAGAATATAGTGATTCAGTTATTATTAAAACTAAAGTTAAGCTACTTAGACCAGTAATCCAATTCTGTCAGAGGTGATAAAGGTATCTGTACGGCATCCAATTTTAATTTTTATGATCTAAAGACATTTTTTTTCTTTCAATCTGCAAAAAAAGTAAATATTTACAATTGAGCCCAAAATAATCCATACCCCTGTCTGTTTTAGATTGAAAATTTCAATTCAAACCAAAAATCTTGATTTGCTATAACATATAACAGTATGAAGGTATTTTTTATTTTTTTTAATTTGAATTAGGTTTTCTATAATTTTATTAAAAACAACACGTCAACAATTATTTACATCCATATTCCAATTCAAATTGATGGGAAACAATATGTCGTTGGACCGACATTAAATCTGTCCAATCCTTTCTGACCAGCTTTTGACGTTCTTCCATTGGTATTTTAACCCTTCCGCTGGAAGGCCTCCTTACCATCACCCTAATTATTCCCTCTACCCACAGATTCTCCAATACTCACAACTCTGGCTGTTCCTCTACAAAACATTATTTTTATATTAATTCTAGGCAGAAAAAACTCATTGATATAGTTAAGTTTAAATCTTCCATTGGCATAAATGAACATTCTTCTCTGCGTTTTTGTGAATTGGACCACAAGGCCGTGTCTCTGCAGCATGTTGAACTGCTCACCTGTACTCAGGTCTTGTCTCCAGCACCACGTTTAGCCAGCAGGCGCTGTAGCTCTCCTTCTTGCACAGGTCGTCCTCCTGAAGATCCGAGTAGGACTTCACTAGGCAGACCCCTCCTCTGCTCACACAGTGCATAGTGGACGTATGAATGCCGACGTTTGTGATTCCCGATCTCTGCCGAAGCCGACGAAAACCTAAGGGAGGAGATCGGACATTGAGTCGTCTGAGATGAGTTTCTCTGTGTTGCAATGTCTTAAATGTCCCGTCTTGTTACTATATTTACTCCTCTGTGTCACATTGTTGTGTATTTGGTGAATGCCCCCCCTCAGGCTTTCTGCAGGTTGGTTTCCATCTGAAAAGGAGCTTTATGAAAGCCTCCATGATGTCAGCCAACTGGATTATCGGAGTCAGTTTGAGACTGACTTTACAGACTTTGGAGCAGTAAACATGTTGAGTTAATGTGGTTTTACATATCAACTTTGTGTTTGCGTGTAAATAGGTAGAATTGGTATACCAGTGGAGAGGAAGTTCTAGGTTTACAAACCTATAAATTTATGTGTGCAGACAGAAATATTAAATGGATTAGAGTGTGATCCCATTTGACCTAAGATCAAATGTCTGCTGGCATAGTTGAGGAGAGAAAGAAGCTCTGACTGCTTCTTTAATCGGGCTCATTAACTCAGAGCTGCTTTCCATGCAGCGAGGCGGAGCAAAGCCGTTTTAAACTTCCATGTTAAACTTTTTCTCATTTTGTCTCATTACAACCAAAAGAATTCAGCTTATCTTACTGGACTTTTTACTTCTTATTGGGATATGATTACAAAGTGGAAAATAAAAGGCACATTTTCAAAGTGATTTTACAAATAAAAAACTCTTGGCGTGCATTTGCACTCAACCCACTTAGGAGATCGAGAAACACAGCAGAGATGTCAAGGATTGAGTTGTGAAGTTTAAAGTAGGGTTATAAAGCAATATGTGCAGGTGGAAGGATATTCCAAAAGGACAACCTTTGATTATGCTCTGCACAAATCTGGTGTTTTTGGTATAGTTTTGACAAAGAAACAATTGTTGAAGAAAGTTAAAGGAATCTCTATCACCAATTGCTTTGCAAGTTTGGTCAAATATTTCCAAACAACACAACTTTAATTTTTTCAGTCAGTAAAAATAAATAATAAAGAAACGTAAACATAAATAATAAAGAAACTGAAACTGACAAAAATATTCCACAACAAACCTTCTTTCAAATAGTTAAAGTTCAATTAGGAATCGTAAAAGCCATGTAAAATGAATAATAAAGTATGACTTCGCTCAGAGCACAAAGTATAGAACTAGACTGAATAGATCTGCCCTTATGGATCAGGCACATTGTCACCTTTATCCAAGCTAGAATTTTGTTGAATATCGGAATCGATACAGATATTAATATCAGATCGGTGGAGGTAGGTTATCTGATCAGATTGGACCAAAATTCAACTTCTTGTCTGTACTACAAAAGGCTTTTTACACTGTCACCTCTGTGAAACATGGTGGTGGCAGAATCATGTTGATAGGAATTGAAATGAAGCTAAAGAGAGTTAAAGGATAATCCCGTAAAACTGCCAGAGGCTGTTGAAGACTTGAAATCGATTTTTACCTCATCTGGTGTTTTAAATGACATTCTTCCAGCAGGAGGACCCCTGGCAACCCGAGTCTGATCAGAATGAAACTGAATCAGAAAGAGCGTGACGCTATGATGCGGCAGGAGGAAGCATGCTGGACTCCAACCAACAACACCCGGCTCTGTGACACCAGAGTCAGCACCGCATGACTCCAGTTCGGGCACTGGTCCGAACACGTGTTGCTGTGGTGACAAGGATTCGCATTCCCCCAAACAGATTAACCTTTGGTCACGTCAAAGTGGCTTTGAATGTCCCGAGAGGGAAGACGTATCACTTCATGCGGTTTCTATAGCTGAGAAGAAAACATGCTTGTGTCTCTAACAATGTTGTCCGCCCTGAACTCTCTCATCCAAACAGAAATCATTTGAATGTTTGAAGTGGAAATAATTGGACGATTAACAAGAATAGCAATTATTTTTGTAATCAATTAATCTATTGATTATTATGACGATTAATAGGAGGGAAGGGATTGGCACATTTTGCAGATTTTCACTAAACCAGTTAAGCTTTAACACAACACTTGAAAATATATTTAAAAATGCAAATCATAGAATTACTTTTTTGAATAAGAAAACATGCCAAACATCCAATGGCACATTATTCCTCTAATGAAAGCCTGACCATTTGTAGTAAAGGCTGAATCAGTTTATAATTTTTAATCAAAGGACATAAAAAACAGATCCAAACAATGTTTTGTTTTGTTTTTTGACTGAATGACTTTACTTTGTTCATTCACACATTGTGTTCCTCTGACATTTTCATCTGTAAGAACTGGTTAAATCAGTGAAAAGCAGAAACTCAGGAGAAATTGGTACATTTCTTAAAACAAATGTATTCATGAAAAACAAAAACAACATACACACTGACACATGTCGGTCATCTCTGTAAAGCTCATATCACCGAGCCTCAGCATCAGTTTCTGAACCAGGCGGGTCTTTTCCTGGGCCGCTCCACTATCCTCTTCCCTCCGTCCTGCTCACTCGGCGTCTCCCCCTCATACAGGACGACCGTCTCCACGGGCGGGGCCGTCAGGGGGCCGCCTTCCATTTCCTTGATCTGCTGACGGATCAGACCGGTCTCTTTGCAAATCTTGGCGTAGCAGAAGCCGCAGAGGATGTGTTTCTGTTTCAAATGACCGCACTCTGGACACGGCTCGATGTTTGTCTGGTTACAGAATAAGCGATGAGCCACATAGAACACAGCATGGTCAACTTTTTTGTACATCTCTTTAAAAGTAATGTTAGCTGAAAATGAATAGGTTCAGCCATATCATTACTTTATCATAACCACTGAATTTAATGCTCTTTTCAAAGTAGTAGTGGGAAATTTGGTTTTAAATGGCTGGTATCGTCATCCAAGCTGGTGTGACAAAGTGAGCTACTTAATTTCTACAGCTGCCAACAAAGCTAACACGCTCACGCATCTTTTTCCTTTTTCATAAGCTAAATTACTGCTGAAATATGCACAGTTTTACTTTCTGTATCATACTGTATCATGGTGTTGTCAGAGGCTACGGACTCACTAACAATTTTATCTAAATAATCAATAATTATGGGATCAAAGGACAACTTTGCTCAACAATCCAAGAGAAATTTCGTGCTGAACAGTAAGGTGGAGGACAATGCCACAAAGCAGAAGTGATAACTATAGTATCAAAGTATCAAAACCTTGAGATGGTTGATCCAGGGCCAGGAAACAAAGATCTCATCCCCAATATGAACATATTGAAGGTTTTATTTATTAAATTTGATGTGCTTCTTTAAATTGTTTAACACCAAAACACTGACTGTACATCTAAAGTGTTAGAAACCACAAACCTTAAGCTTACAGGGGTGTCTATGGTGGAATAGGAGCTCTAATAATACAAGCTAAGAAACGGTGGCAGCTAGATGTACCTTAACTTTGATGAGCTTTCTTTCAGCTCTCCTTCTGGTCCTGTTGACCTCTATGGTGCGTCTCTTCTTGGGAGCCGCCATCCACAGGATGCTGTCCAGGAGGCCGGGGGTCTGCTCTGGGTCCTGCTCCTCATCCTGTTGGGGGTCCTGCTCGATCTGGGGCAGAAGGCTGGGACCATTCACTGCCAGAGCTGGGGCTATACACGGACAGGGAAACATGTTTACACGGAGTCAGGCATTAAACAGCTTACAACATGGACAAGCACCAACACGACGACAAAAGCTGACATTAAGCATTGCTATTACAAAAGGAAGTGGAATAACAACTCAATTAAGTTTGTGATTAAAAAAGCTGCAGCCTTAATTTATCCGGCCTAATCTCACCCAGCTGCGAGTCCAGTCCGGATATTTGGAGAAGTCTGCTTTCAATGCGCAGCAGAGAACACCTGAGGCTGTGCACCAAGGCGGATAAGTTCATCATTTTTATTTCAGCACGTTTCTTCTCCTTCAGACATTACAAACACCCCACGGTCACCGGGATTTCTTCTTCTTCTTTGTTGATTCGATGCGCGATTGCCATCCAGTGGGGGTTTGTCCAAACTGCATTTATTCCACCCATAGTGTTTTTTTGCACGAGTTTTTGCATCAAAACGGCTCCTCTTACGTCAAATCAATATCCAGATGTTTTTAAAACGTCTTACTCGGTTAGAAGTATGGAGGACCAAAACTGACATAATAGCAGTAATGAAGGGCAGACTTTGTTTTCACGTGTAATTTGTGAAGATTCCCCCAGAGAGCGCTATACACCCGCAAGTGTATTTGGAGTTTCCTGTTCACTTTTGGACAGAAGAAGAAGAGGATCAAAATGGCGGAGCGTGGCTATAGTTTCTCTCTCACCACATTTAGGTAAACTTTATGAAAAAAGCAATAGAATCTTTCTCAGAAATTTAAAGTTGCGACGTGAAAATGTTTTCTTGAATGTTAGTATGATTTAGAGTTTCAGTGTGGTCCGTTTAAATACTGAGAGGCGTTCTTACTAGCGGCTGGAGTTGATGCACTGTCATTGTCGTCCAATGAATCGGCTATTAGCTTAACGGCTAACTCTAAAATATTAACTTTTAAGATACTTTAGAGTCAAATTCCATCGGTTGATAAAATAATAATAATTATAGAACTAATTGGTGATTGTAAAGAGTTGAATATAGCTGTTTTTGGAAGGTTGCTTTGCTAACATTAACAGCAATTAGTTTATGATTTTACTTTCAGTTTCGTCTTTGTCAAGTAGTTTATTTTTTAATTCTTTAATGCATCGACATGTAATAGTTTTGTTTGCACGTGGATGAGCTTAACTCCCTTCCAGCCTTCAGCATAATAACTAAGCGTGATATTTGTGCTCCTGCAGCCCCTCGGGTAAACTGGTCCAGATTGAATATGCACTGGCAGCTGTAGCAGCAGGAGCTCCTTCAGTTGGCATCAAAGGTAGGAATCATGGAAATCTGCTGCTCTGATGTGATTTCATTCAGTCGAAGGGGGACATTATTGCTTCCCTCCTTCATAAAGAATTGTCATTTAGCTAAATCTGTGACTGTTTGAGTCGTAGTTTCATGTGGATACTCTGCTGCTTTGGATTTGATCAAACTGGTTATCTTATTACAGCTACTAATGGAGTGGTCCTGGCTACGGAGAAGAAGCAGAAATCCATTCTGTATGATGAACAGAGCGTCCACAAAGTGGAACCCATTACCAAACACATAGGCATGGTGTACAGTGGCATGGGACCTGACTACAGGTGGGGAGACTTTGGGAGATATCAGGATGTGATATCTTAACAACTTGAAGCCTAACATGGATTTTAAAATAAAACTACAGTTAAAATGAATTTCCCGTCCATGCATTACCATGCTTTTTATAACTGCACAAAATCAAAAATATTTATAAAATGTATTTTAATTTGCTTTGTAAGGTTAAGGAATTTTCTTTATCCATAGATGATGACATCATTGTTTTGGTAACAAAACAGCTCAGTCTTAACGTACACAGACAGATTAATATGTTTCTCATCATGACAGGGTTTTAGTGCGACGAGCCCGGAAGCTGGCACAGCAGTACTATCTAGTGTACCAGGAGCCAATTCCTACAGGCCAGCTTGTCCAGAGGGTGGCCTCTGTAATGCAGGAGTACACACAGTCTGGGTACGTTTTTGTAAACACTCGTTATGCATACTAGCTGTATAGTCACTTTATTTAGCAGTACAAGTTTGAAATGTCCTAATTGGGATTTTTTTTAATCCTAATTATTGTCACCTAAAATACAAACAGCTTTATTGGTTGTTTTTAAAAGCGCATCTGACTCGACACACACTGCTATGGTCTTCAATAAACTTGCATCTTGTTTCTGCTTTTTTTTTCTTTCTTTTTTTTTTCTCTTCTCATTTTGTGGAGCGGTTTGTTGGAACAGCTGGGCTAACATTAGCATGTTTACTCTGTTTATAATTGATGATTCTGCTCATGGAATATTTCAGTGTGGCTCCAGCTAAGTTACAGAAGAAGTAAAGATTTTTGCTTTGAGCATTTTAAAGTTTAATGATTAGCTTCTGGACAGCTATCTGAACACGGCATTTGGAACAGATCGTATTGCATACTATTTCACTGTGAATGTTGCTATAAAGCATGAGGTACAGACTTTTAAATTTGCCTAAAGTATAGTTCACAGTTTGACCTGATATGCGCCGAAGTGTTCACTTTCTTCACTTGTGTCCTGTTTTGAAGAGGATGCAGAATGAATTCTTCACATTCTTCTGAAAATGTTACTTTGTTTGTTCAGTTGTGGTACTTCATGGACAGGAGACTATTTTTAAATTTTATGTTTATTTTTTTTTCTCTCTTCTAGCGGAGTGCGTCCATTTGGTGTGTCACTGCTGATAGCTGGTTGGGATGAGGATCACCCCTACTTGTTCCAGTCCGATCCTTCTGTACGTTGATTTGTTTTCACTTTGTCTGATATGTTGGTTTAGGCTTTTGCCAGCAACTTATCAGTTTAGAAAAATGAAAGTTGGAGAATTGCTCATGCTTATATTTTAAGGCTGTATCTGTCAGAAACATGAAAGGCCCCCAAATATCAGTATTCTGGTTTTGCCTTACAGGGAGCATATTTTGCATGGAAGGCCACAGCCATGGGAAAGAACTACGTCAATGGAAAAACATTCCTTGAAAAAAGGTACAGGTTGAGAATTAAATATATTTCTTATAATATGAAAGTTATATACAATACATTGTCGATGAATTTATATTATGAATTTATGTGTGGAGAGTGACCATACATAAATTCACAAATCTTATGTGCGTTTTTAGCTCTTTATTGTTTTTCTTTTCCATTCAGACCTAAAGATCAGCATATTTTTAAGGATTTGTTAAATCATCATTCATTTTCATGTTATTTTCTACTAAGAAAATGACATAAAAATGAGAATAATCTTGGAATCATTATTCCAAGATTCCAAGTCTGAATCTTGGAATAATGTTTTTAAGTAGATGAATCATAATAATGACTGACTTTATGAGTAAACATAATGTAAACACTTTGTGTTTTTTCTCTCTAGGTATAATAATGACCTGGAGTTAGAAGATGCCATCCACACAGCCATCCTTACATTGAAGGTAGATCAGATCTTATCAGCATTGCTGAAAGCATTAAGACATTTTTGTTATTGTGTTTGCTTTCAAACCCATTATTAACATTTGTCTGTCTTTGTGCTTTAGGAGAGTTTTGAGGGTCAGATGACAGAGGAGAACATTGAGGTGGGAATCTGCAACGAGGCCGGGTTCAAAAGACTCACCCCGGCTGAGGTGAAAGACTACCTGGCAGCCATCGCGTGAACACACCCTCTCTGAAGGGCCACCTGGCTACATTTCAAAACAGATTTAGCAGCACAGTGGCCAATTGACACAAGGAGCAGAAGAGTATGTCCACAACAACATAATGAAGACATACACATCCCTATTGACCATTACTACTCAATGTCTACACAAATGTTTATACTTAAGGAGAGAAGAAAATAAAATTAGCTTTACTTTAACATGTACTCTTGATGTCATATGTGACAATTGGCTTGTGTGCACGCTGAAAAGGTTTTGAGCTCTGAGAGAAATCTCAGGTCTTCCATTGAATCTTCAATTCTTACTCCCCAAAGAACTGCGCTGAGTTTTAATACGCACCTCTTCTGCATAATACATTTAGCTAAAAAAAATTATTTGTGTAATAATCAGACTTATTAGAGGTCATGACAAATGTTTTTTTTTTTTTGTTTTGTTTTTTTTTACATTGAACAAAATATATTTTTCATTCTTTTAATATAATTGAGTTGAACAAAAACAATAAGCAGATTTTGGAGGATTCAATGGCTAGGCTTGAGATTTTACAGTCAAGATCTGGTTGCTGTACTACCGTTTTACATTATGTGCTTTTTTTTCAGGCTTGATACAGTTCTTAAATTTGTATTTTCTCCACTGTTATGTGTCACTTATTCAAATAAAGAATGGTGAACTGTTGACTCATTGCTTCTACTTATTAAACTTTTATTTTGAAAATATTTTAAAATGAGTTTAACAGCAGAGTTTTTTTAGATGAGTGCGCTCAAACCGGATCACCTTGTCAAAGTATTTATGTATCCCTCCGCTTCTATTTTGTTTCTATGTTTTCATTTGAGGTGAGTTGTACGTTAGTGACTGTAAAGCGTATTCAATCGTACAACAGTTTTGTTGTGTTCGAAATTTAAATGAAATTTTCGGTTTGACTTGATGTGAAAAATGACTCGGAGCTCTGTTTGTGTCAGCGGAGGAGTAAAACTCCTGTCCACATAACGCCCTGATGACGTTTATGGCGCCAGAAATCAAGGGTTCAGAGAGGAAAGAGTGTGTGTCAGCTGGAGAAGACGGCGCGTTATTTGTATTATGTTGACGATATTGTAAACGTAACAATCGTGGACAGATTTCTCCATCATTTGTGGTCGTAATAAAGTCAAGATGGTGGTCCTACGCAGCAGCGGTGGTGTCGGAGCTGAACCGGTGGCCACTATTCCAAAGAGGAGGACGACGGAGCTGGAAATGAGCCCCGACTTTCTGTCGCTGATTCCCGCGTCGCAGAGAAAGTCCGCCCGGGTGACTCGGTCCTCTCGGTCCCTGAATGACAGCTTCAGCAGCCCCGAAACCAACTCAATGAAT